CTTCTTCTTCTACTTCTATTTCCTCATCATCATCATCCTCTTCTTCTTCTACTACTTCTTCTTCCTCTTCTTCTTCATCATCATCCTCTTCTTCTCCATACTACTACTTCTTCTTCCTCACTTCATCATCATCCTCTTCTCTATCTACCTACTTCTTCTTTCTACTTCTTCACTTCCTCTTCATCATCATCATCCTCCTCTTCTTCTACTTCTTCTTCCTCTCCTCATCATCCTCTTCTTCTACTTCTTCTTCTACTTACTTCACTTCTTCCTCTTCATCAGCCTCTTCTTCTAGTTCTACTTCTTCTTCCTCATCAGCATCCATATCACTATTCTTCTTTCTACAATTCCTCTTCCCTACTTAATACATTCTTCTTCTCTACTTCTAGTTCTTCATCATCACATCATCATCTCTCTTCTACTACTACTTCCTTCTTCCTCTTCATATTAAAAAAAAAACTGAAATTTTTTGTAGATCTGAAATATGGCAGAACTTATATTTTCACCTGTTTTGTACAGTAAGGGAATGTAAAGCGTTCCACCTGCTAAACATGTCCTGAGGGCTTCAGTGGAATGATTCTACTAACCAGGCTTATTCATTCTACTCTTCCAAACATTGATTTTTATTAGCACTGTCTGGGCATTATACTTGTGCAATTTTTTGTTTCAAAGGCTAAATGTACATATAAAATACATTCATGGTTTTGATATATCTAGGGACTCCACACAAATTTGCAAATTTAAATTCCAGGGTGGATTTGATTTAAATCAAGTTGATGTAAATCATGATTTAAATCAGTAGTGAAAAGGCTCAATTTAAATCATCATATTTAAAGAGCAACTGTCATCTCTGTCCTGCAGCGGCTCCTCATCTGACTCACCGACAGTCCCATTCACTTTAATGGGACGGCTGGTGATGCAGCAGTGACACAACAAGGTGAAGGACGTGGCAGCAGCAGGTGAGTGGATGCCCGCTAACAGGCGCTGCCATGATGGATCTAAAATGACAGGTGCTCTTTAATGTAAGGAATCCGACTCATTCTTGCTGGTAGTTAGAATCTTTCATATTTGCAAACCAAATGAAGGTTTCCTTTTTAGAATAATAAGCTGTCAGGTTAGTAAAACAGCGATATCAGAACCGATTTTAGGTTAATAGCTTAATCACACATAGCTAGAAACTACTCAAATTCTTTTATTTCATGTTTTTTCTCATGGTTGCTGTGAAATTGTGTGAATGCCTCAATGCAGTGCATGTTATCTTAGCTTGCAGAGCTTGGATTCATTGAAAGAGTTTAGCAAAAATGTAAATATTGCAGAATATACAGCCTCATGCTACATAACTAAGCTCCATTTCACGCTGAACAAACTAAATTGTTCATGTATCTTAGATAGAAAAGTAGATTAGATATATTTTTACTCCAAAAGCATTTTATTAAAAAAAATTTGATAAATATCAAAAAAATCCGATTTAAATTTAAAAAATCTGATTTAAAAAATAGGGTAGCACAGTGGCTAAATGGTTAGCACTTCCGCCTGGCAGTACTAGGGTCATTGGTTCAAATCCCAACCACGGCACCACCTGCCTGGAGTTTGCATGTTCTCCCTGTGCCTGCGTGGGTTTCCTCCCACATTCCAAAGACATGCTGGTAGGTTAATTGGCTTCTCTCTAAACTGTCTCTATTGTGTATATGTATGAATGTGAGTTAGGGACCTTAGATTGTACACCCCTTGAGGGTTAGGAACTGATGTGAATGTACAATATATATATGTAAAGCGCTGCGTAAATTGACGGCGCTATATAATTACCTGTAATAAAATCATCAATTTTTATCCACCCTGGCAAATTCTTACTTTCATCTTTTTTTGGACAAAAAAAGCAGATAAACCTGTAAAATTTGAGGGAGGAATTAACCTCTTTCTGACTATGTAACGCATTGCATGCTACTGCTGAGTCTGTAATCTGCAACACCCCCAGACCCTTTTCTACCATTGATTGTCCCAGGAGAGCCACTTCTAATGTGTATTTTGCATGTGTATATTTGGCACCCAAGTCCATTACTTTACATTTTACAGTGTTGAACCTTATGTGTCATGTGGCTTGCCCAACTGTTATATTAAAGCAGAACTCCAGTTCAAAAATTTTTTTTTTAACATGCAGTGGGGCTGTGTCCCCACTACATGGATCAACTGCTCTTTTCTTCTAGGGGTGAGTACAACGCTCATCTGAAAAACTGCACTCCACCATGGTCCAGCAGTGGACTGGTCCTATTTATGGAGTGTGGTGACGTCAGGAACAGTCCATTTGCAAGACTTCTGGACCGCGGAGGGGGGTGGAGGGGGGCAGGAGCCGAAGGGACAGGCCTTGTGCGGGGAGGATTGGCGGGTCAGGTAAGTATAGCTTTGCTGTCCTCTCCCCTATAGCAAAGCAGTAAACCCATGTAGTGCAGGCACAGCCGCACTGCATGGGCAAAAACAAAATGTTTGCCTGGAATTCTGCTTTAAGGTTATCCTATAAAATGGTTACATCCTGTGCTGAATTTATTTCCCTGTATAATTTAATTTGTTATTACCAGCAAACACTGTCACTTTGACCCCTTAAAGAGCCACTAAACAATACATCAGTGGCTGGCAGGGAACTCTAGGACATTACAGCTCTGGAGAGAACGGTATAGTTTGCTTTAAGTGTGCTTTATTGACTAGGTAGTGCAGCTTATCTAACTTGTGATCACTGTGATCCACCTTCATGGCAAGGGAGAGTATCACCGGCACACTGAGGATCACCAATATGGGTCCAAAAGTTTTAATAAACTGTCACATAGTTACAGCAAGGCAACGTTTCGGAGTCTTGCAGGACCCATTCATCAGGCATGTGCGTTTGGATTGTACACTTGCATTCCACCTTCAGAGCAGTCACATAATTGGGAACCCATCCCGCTGACTTCCAGTCCGAAGCCTTGACTGAGAGCTGTCAGTGAGCATACTCTTAGTATACATACGCATACCACTGTGGATGCAGTGCAGCTGATGTGTGTTAAAACCCATCATCCTTGCCACCACATATAATGCATGCGTTACGTGGTCCGCAATAAATTAAAATGTTCAAATATTTCAAAGGCGACTCCAATAACTGTAATAACATGCTTACTCTAAGGTACCTGATGAAGACACATGGTCAACATTTGCAGTTAGAAGAAAGGAGGTTTAAGCTTAGAATCTAGAAGGTATTCTTTATTGTTAGAGCAGTACAGCAGTGGAAAACCCTTCACCAGGAAGTGATATAGCTAGCTAGGGGTATGAGCAACTTCAAAAACTTTTAGATATCTTCCCTGGAGATTATAATTTACAAGGCTTTGGGAACTGTTATTGAATACAAAAACACACACACAGCTGGATAGACTTGTCATTTTTCAACCTTATACGCCATTGCAATAAAAGGTCAGAGAAGTGATGCAGATGCAGATCACTTGATTTTTATAACTGGTCCCCATTCATGAAAGACTATAGACATGAGATAATTGTAACCCGATCTATCAGATTGGATCCCATTGCAAGCATAGAAGTGCCTTATAGCTGTAGGCTCCACAGCCGAATGAACTTTTTGGGATTTTCTTTTTTTTTTGACAAATGCATTTTCTTTCTCCCCTAGAGATATACAACACCATAGGTATCATCCTGCTCTCCCCACTCTCTCCTCCATAGCAATAAACATTCAGAAAATCTGGGCAGAAATATGTGCCTGCTTACCAGCAGAGATTTCTTAATCACTAAGATAAATGAAGAAGTCAGCAAGTTCAGACGGCGTTTGTCTCAGCAGTATTACAAGGGTGTTGCAAGTTGCCACAATTTGACATTTTTTCTTAAGTGGTTGTAAAGGTTCTTTTTTTTTTCAAATAACAAACATGTCATACTTTCCTGCTCTATGCAATGGTTTTGCACAGAGCAGCCGCGATTCTCCTCTTCTTGGGTCTCCCGCCGGTGCTATCAGCTCCTCCTCTTCTACATGTGACAAGATAGGAAGCCACTTCCTATGATAGCATACATGTGGGCTCAATCCTGAGCCGTGTTGTTTGTGTCTATTGACCAGCTCTCCCCTGCTCCCTCCTCACCCTATTTAATTGACAGCAGCAGGAGTCAATGGCTCCCGCTGCTCTTACTGGGGTTGATTTACTAAAGACCAATAGACTGTGCACTTTGCAAAGTGCAGTTGCACTCTGCAGGAGCAAAGAGTGTGAGGATTTCCTACCATTATATGAGCATTTGATTGCCGATGGGCACAGCCATTAAGGAGGAAGAGTCTTGATCGTGAATGATATTCACCACAAGCGCTGTTGCTTATCAATGTGAGATAAGCCATTACATTTGCTGAGTGTCACTAAATTGGGGTTGGATCTGTTTGGAGCACTTGGTGTCACTGGCATGAAGTTTACGTTGACACTTGTGAAATCTTCATTTAATCACATGGTGATGTAGTAAAACAAAGACTTGTTCACAGTTGCATGGTGGACTCTCATATGGGACTCAAAGTTCATTTTTATTTTTCACTTTCATGAATTGGATGTTTTGTATTTATTTATATAGTTATTTATTTAATTTATTTGATATAAGTTATAGAAATAGAGCAGCCTTTCTCAACCAGGGTGCCCAGGCACCCTGGGGTGCCTTGAGGTTTCTCCAGGGGTGCCTTGGCAAAATGTCTAAAAATTGCCCAAAACTTGTATGCAAGCCTGCCTTTCAGTTACACAAAGCCACAGCCACAGTGAACCATTAGGGCCTTCTTGCTGACGGCTTCCTGACAACCAATGACATCATCAGTTGATAAGGAGGATGTCAGCTGCCTGCTCAGCATCCTAGTTGGACCCTCCAAAAAGTGTATTTGCTTTGGAAGAATAAATCACCTCTAATGTCGGGTGTCCTACATGTATGGATGTTGCTGCCTTATATAAAACTTTTCACATTTAGAATGGAGTGCCCTTTTAGAATTATGGACAGTCTTGAGGCACCCCATTTTAGAATCGGGTGCCTAAAGACTGTCCATAATTGTAAAGGGGGGCCTCAAGACTGTCCATAATTTCAAAGGGTGCCTCGGGACTGTCCATAATTTCAAAGGGTGCCTCAAGACTGTCCCTAATTTTAAAGGGTGCCTCGGGACTGTCCATAATTTCAAAGGGTGCCTCGGGACTGTCCTTAATTTTAAAGGGTGCCTCAAGACTGTCCATAATTTTAAAGGGTGCCTCAAGACTGTCCATAATTTTAAAGGGTGCCTCAAGACTGTCCATAATTTTAAAGGGTGCCTCAAGACTGTCCATAATTTTAAAGGGTGCCTCAAGACTGTCCATAATTTTAAAGGGTGCCTCAAGACTGTCCATAATTTTAAAGGGTGCCTCAAGACTGTCCATAATTTTCAAGGGTGCCTTGAGTGAAAAAATGTTGAGAAACACTGCACTAGAGCACTTTTATTTGGATGTTGCATTGCTTACAGTGGTTGTATTAATAATATTAAGTGCAGTGGTGTGAATATTTTACCATAATGCAGAGAATTCATTAAAGTAAAAACCTTTAGCCTTTAATTAATAATTATTTAGGATAGCAAAGTAGTATTTGTATTCGTTTTATTCTTTGTTGTGATGAAAATGTAACTTTCCTTATGTTGCCTAATGGGAATTTAACTGGGAATCTTAATTCCTCTTTGAACATTGAAGACCTTTAGGCAATAATCTTTACTGACAACAGCATCTTATCATTCATCTCCTTACAGGAACTTTGACAGCAATATCCAAGGATGAGGCTCTTTTTCTTCGCTTCGGTTTTGCTGTGCATTGGTGTGATTAAAGACATCACAGGCCCGTAGGTCTCGCACCCGACGCGAGCTGGCCCCAGGACTTCATACTCTTGGAATTAGAGATCCAGGTGGCTCATATTGTCAAAAGAGAAATTCTTGCTGCCCAGGAAGAGATGATGCCTGTACAGTGCCCTATTTGGATACCATCTGCTACTGCGATCTGTTCTGCAATCGAACAGTGTCTGACTGCTGCCCTGACTTCTGGGGGTTTTGTTTACACATTAGCCCTCCAGTAAATATTCAAAAAGGTAAGAGCAATAATACCATTATCATGATGGATTTAATGGATGTATCAATAAGCTGTTTACTTTTTCAAGGGCATTTTTTCTCCCAGAGCTTAATGAATGCAGTGAAAGTTCAGTCTGAAAAAAATACCCAATCACATGCAAGGAAAAAAAAAAAAAAAACGTTTTATTCTTACATATGATTGGATGATGGAAGTCACCACATCTTCAAATTATTCGTTAAACTAGAGAGAAAAATCCCTTGCAAAGTTCAACTTTCCTTGCAAAGTGAACAGCCTATTTGCCTTTAGTAAATCAAGTAAACTTTGTACAGTTTTCTCTATGTATTACCGTCTGTTTCCATGGGGTTAAAACCTATGGTATAAAAGTGCAACACTTATATATTAAGCGATGTCAAGTGAACCAATACAAAGTGAAATAAATACAATGGAAATGCAAAAGAGTCCGTCAAATATAAATGGATAATAGTGCCCATGGGACTACAAGGCACAGCAACCTTGGTGAAAAACAAACTATGATTCAGATCCAGTGAAGTGATCCAGCCTAGAAGACATGCTTTTGCACGAAACGTGTCGGAAGGAGCCACCCTTGCTGATGTCACGCCGCCGCAGCTCGGAGCGGCGGCCATTTTGGTACTGTGTGTTTTTACATGTATTTTACACTCATTCCATGTGGATTGTTTCTACTCTTATTACAATAAAATACTACACTATACACCACTTCTTGGCTCCTGTGGTGAGCTATTTTCTCTAGGAAGAGGTCCTTCCTTCGGTTTACCTGTGGCGGAGCAGTCCAGTACATTTCTCTTTGGCTCTTTGATGTGATCTACATATATGATATATACCAGTAGCTTTCTGGTGAGTTTACATTTAACAGCGGTGGTGGATCTCTTCACTGGATCTGAATCATAGTTTGCTTTTCTCCGAGGTTGCTGTGCCTTGTAGTCCCACGGACACTATTTTCCATTTATATTTGACGGACTCTTTTGCATTTCCATTGTATTTATCTCACTTTGTATTGATTCACTTGATATCACTTACTTTATAAGCGCTGCACATTTATACCATATATTTTACAGGTGCTGTTACCTTTTGTGCTAGCAGCTTTTCACTCATTTATTTATAGCACTCGTCTATATATATATAATTTATCTGCATTCACTGATGGGGTTAAAACCGTTGACAATTATTGGTTCTTGCTTTATCTTCCCTCTAGCATCAACTTGTCTTCTGTCTGGAATTCAAGCATCCATGACATGCAAAGTTCTCCTCTTTTGCTTGTGGTTTGTGAGTGTACGGATGCATGTATTTTTCAGCATGGTCAGTGGTGATGACGAGGCTGCATTTTAGTTGCAAATCAAAATGTAGATATCGAGACGTATTCAGTAAGGCAGTGCAGAGGGTAAATGACTATGGACAAAGTGCTGGAACCCATAGCAATTAAACAGTCTGCATTTACTTATTCATTTGTCCAGTAAAAACAATGAAACCTAATTGCTGATTAGTTGTTTTAACCTCCCTGGCGGTATTCCCGAGTGTAGCTCAGGGTAAAGTTTCAGTGCCACAAGCGTAACTCCGAGCTACACTCGGGATTACACTGCGGCGTTGCTCAGGGATTCCCTGCAGCGCTTACCTTGTCCTTTCGCTCCCGCGATGCGTCCCCTGCAGCATCCCCGACCATCTCCTCCGGCCGATGCCGACATCCGGCTTCCGTGCTCCGGTCCCTGCGAGCGTTGGGACGTACGGGACGTACGTGGACTGGAACCGGCGGCAAATTTAAAAATTTTAAAAAATGTCATTTTCTAATAAACTAAAATAACATCGTAAAACATTACTGTTTCAAACCATTTGACATACATTTTGTCCCTAATGCTTTGTCCTGTGCCCTGCCTGCATTTTGACTGTTCTTTCTGCCTGGAAACTTAGAAAAGTCCATGGCATCCAAAAAGCGTCCCTTTAGGTCAAAAGCGGTTTTATACCAGTTAGAGAACAGCGATAGTAAATCAGAACCACTTGCAGAATGGAGTGATAATTATTTGTGGGGAAATTCATCATCAGACACTGAAAACGATTTTGCGACTTTGCTCATTGCTGTGCGAACTTGGCGCTATATTTCAAATTTCAGTGTTTTTGGTTTGATTATATTATTGAATTAAATTTTTTTATTATTATATTATTATTTTTTATGATTATTTATTAAATTATAATTTATGATTTTGTGTTTCAAGTTTTATCCTACCCGGGATGTTTACTAGACTCTCGTTCGGACAGATTTCAGTGAGTTATTCCTAAAAATTACAGGCCTGCTATAAAAAGACTACATATTTCCATGCAAAAAAAATGTACCGCTTTCAGCACAGAAATATGGACATAATCAGGGAGGTTAAAAGTAAAAATCCCATGTATCTCTTCTTGCTGATATATAAACATGTTGGCGTAATGTGTAAATTGAAAGATTTTTTTTTTTGTTTAACATCTACATTTTAATGTATTCCCTTCCTGGTATTCAGAGGTGCTGGTGACATAGCCTGTGCCTCCCAGCTGCACCCTGGGTAGGTTAAATTATCAGTACCTTCCATGGAGATCTTGTGTGTAAACTGTAGGAGCCTACAAGGTTTCAAAAAATCTTTGTGTCTTATCTTTAGTCGAATCCTAGTCTTTTAACCATTGCTGTGTACATCTGTTTGTGTGTGTTTCTTTCTGTTTTTTTTTTTTCCCCCCACATCTCTTCTAATATTCTGCTAAAACGTTGTGTAGTACTGCCTGGACTTTGAAGAAGGGGACATACCCCGAAAGCTTGTCATCAAAATTGTATGTTAGTGCAAATAAAAAAAGTATCACAGACAGTACTCAATTGTTTCTGTCGCAAGTGCACTAATACGGCTACAATCACCTCAAGCAAAAAATCTTGCAAGGTCTTGGGAAGAATTTGTTTTCACCACAGATGACGTGTAATGTAAGCAAAGAGGCAGATACAGAGCTATGCATTATTTACTGAAATCCTGTGAGATTTAGTTCATTCATACATCTGTTATCACTGAGGCATCACTGTGTGCGTGATATGAAGGGGACACAGGAGACACTATGTGTGTGTGGGGGGGGGTGACAGTATGGGAGGGGGGGACACAGGAGACTCTGTGGGTGGGGGGACACGGGAGACTCTCTGGGGAGGGGGGGCTAAGGAGACACTGTGGGGGGGGAGAAGACACTTGGGATGGGGGACACAGAGACTCTGTGGGGGGGGGGGGCTAAGGAGACACTGTGGGGGGGGGTTTAGGAGACACTGTGGGGGGGGAGACTGTGGGAGGAGGGGGCGCTAAGGAGACACTGTGGGTGGGGGGGCTAAGGAGACACTGTGGGGGGGGGCTGGAGACAGTGGGAGGCAGGACACAGGAGACTCTGTGGGAGGGGGGGCTAAGGAGACTGTGGGAGGGGGGGCTTAGGAGACACTGTGGGGATGGGGGACACAGGAGACTGGGGGGGAGGGGGGCTAAGGAGACACTGTGGGGGGGGGCTTAGGAGACACTGCTGGGAGGGGGGGGGACACAGGGGACTCTGTGGGAGGAGGGGGCGCTAAGGAGACACTGTGGGAGGGGGGGCTAAGGAGACACTGTGGGGGAGGGGGGGCTTAGGAGACACTGTGGAGAGGGGGGACACAGGAGACTGTGGGAGGAGGGGGCGCTAAGGAGACACTGTGGGAGGGGGGCTAAGGAGACACTGTGGGGAGGGGGGCAGGAGACAGTGGGAGGGGGGACACAGGTGTGGGAGGGGGGGCTAAGGAGACACTGTGGGAGGGGGGGCTAAGGAGACACTGTGGGAGGGGGGCTAGGAGACACTGTGGGAGGCAGGACACAGGAGACTCTTTGGGAGGGGGGGCTAAGGAGACACTGTGGGGGGGGCTTAGGAGACACTGTGGGATGGGGAGACTCTCTGGGGGGAGGGGGGCTAAGGAGACACTGTGGGGGGGGCTTAGGAGGTGGGTGGGGAGACACAGGAGACTGTGGGAGGAGGGGGGCGCTAAGGAGACACTGTGGGAGGGGGGGCTAAGGAGACACTGTGGGAAGGGGGCAGGAGACACTGTGGGAGGCAGGACACAGGAGACTCTGTGGGAGGGGGGGCTAAGGAGACACTGTGGGAGGGGGGCTTAGGAGACACTGTGGGATGGGGGACACTGACTCTGGGGGGGGGGGCTAAGGAGACACTGTGGGGGGGGGGAGACACTGTGGGAGGAGGAGACACTGTGGGAGGGGGGGCGCTAAGGAGACACTGTGGGAGGGGGGGACACTGTGGGAGGGGGGGCTTAGGAGACACTGTGGGAGGGGGGACACAGGAGACACTGTGGGAGGGGGGCGCTAAGGAGACACTGTGGGAGGGGGGGCTAAGGAGACACTGTGGGAGGGGGGGCTAAGAAGACACTGTGGGAGGCAGGACACAAGAGACTCTGTGGGGAGGGGGGCTAAGGAGACACTGTGGGAGGGGGGCTTAGGAGACACTGTGGGATGGGGGGGCACAGGAGACTCTCTGGGGGGGGGGGGCTAAGGAGACACTGTGGGAGGGGGGGCTTAGAAGACACTGTGGGAGGGGGGACACAGGAGACTCTGTGAGGGGGGCACTAAGGGACACTGGGGTAAGGAGACACTGTGGGAGGGGGGGCTAAGGAGACACTGTGGGAGGGAACACAGGAGACTCTGTGGGAGGAGGGGCACTGTGGGAGGAGGGGCAGGAGACACTGTGGGAGGGGGGCTTAGGAGACACTGTGGAAGGGGGGCTTAGGAGACACTGTGGGAGGGGAAACACAGGAGATTCTGTGGGAGGAGGGGGCACAGTAAACTACAGTGGGGGGAAGGGGATATTGATGAGAAAAGGACAGGGGACACTGCTTTGGGGATGGGGAGCAGAGGAAATTTTGTGGGGGCAGAGAACACTGCTATGGGGCAGGGTGTGACTCTTGGGAGGAGCATCCGCTGAGTACTGTTCAGTGGCTCCGTGTGTCCTCGGTCAAGC